AAAAAGCGTTTTCCTTCATGTCGGACGCTGTTGACATGGCATCACCCACTCAGTTGAATTGTGGTAATTTGCAAGGCATTAAATCAGATGACGTCGTCAGAAAAATCAGATCAGAGGCCTTAAGTACCGATGATTATGATAAAGATGATTTTCATAACCTTGTATTGATGTGTAATGACAAAGAAAACATCTTTGTAAAGCATGTCAGCATACCGTCCGTTCACTGTTATAGTAACGAGCATAGGCGCAACTAGGGGGGTGCTTGGGGGTGCTTCAGCACCCCCAAACTTTAATTTAGCACCCCCAGTTCAAAAGCAGCAAAAATTGAAAAATCATATGAAAAAAATAGTTATTTTAGCTTTACTTAAGGTTTTTTTTTTTACTTCTTCGTTTTTAACAGAAACACAAATTATTGTTTGTAATGATTATAGGTACCTATATCAAATATTAGAATTTAGAATACTTCAATTTATTTTTGGAAATTTTCAGTTAGAAATTTATAAAAGTTTTTTTTCCTTTCATAGCTAACATTATAAATGTTGATAGAAGACTCCTCACAATTGGTACTATCTTAAACAAAAAAGAAAGTTTACTGGAAAGTAACATACATTTTTTATGAGCGTTTGAATCTAAAATGTGTACAACATTCAATTTTCAATTTTTATCAGTAAATTAACGAAATTTCATCTATACATTTTTGATATTTTGTTGTAATTTAAAAACGAATAATCCTAGATTCTTTAAATTGTTATCAAATGTTAAAATAATAATTTTCCTTACATTGTAAAATGTTTAAACAATTTTGACTCTTTTTGAGGTATTTATAACTGAGAAATTTTTCAAATATTTTTAATTATTTTTCAGTTAGCAATTCATAAAATATTTTCCTTTCACAGTTAAGGCCTAATATTAAAAATGTTAATAAAAGATTTCACATAAGTTTGTCTACCTATAAAAAAAACGTATATACTTAAACTTGAATTTTTTTATGAGTGTTCGAACTTATAATTGTCACGGTATTCGATATTCAGCGGTAAATCGAATTCCCATTAGGTAATCGATTTTTTGGATTTTGATGTATTTCCAAAATTAATAACCTTAGACTCTTGAAATGTTCACCAAATATTTATAATAGCATTTTCCATACATCGTAAATTCTTTAAACACTTTTGACTTTTTATGAACTATTTATAGCTATTTATGAGAACATTTTTCAAATTGAATTCAAATATAACACATCCACTACAACGACATTCTCAACAACTATTGTACAGCAAAGCGATACCCACTTGACCACATTTTTTTTTTATCTATTTACACTTCCAGGTTACTATTTTTATCACCTAAATAATATAATATACCTCATGTATTCATCAGGTATATTACTGTTGCAGATTTACTTAAATATTATAGTGTCCTTATGTGTTCAATGTTCATGGTGCATTTAGGAATGGTTATAGTAATTATAAAATCAAAGTATGTTATTTTGGGGTGTGGGGGCGTAGCCCCCGCGGGTTTGTGTTCTCTACATAATTTTAGCACCCCCAGTGTTTGGCCTCTAGTTGCGCCTATGGTAACGAGCAGTTGGACATACTAAAAAATCTGATTAAAAAACAAAAACCAGTAACTAGGTATTTGGATGCAACTGGTACAGAGGTCAGGAAAATTGACAAGAACAGCAAAAAGGTTCTGTACCATGTTCTAGTTGTTAATGTCCCATTACCTAGAAACTCAAGTGTCACGTGTCCTGTTGTTGAAATGATTATTTCAGCCCACGAAATCGCCGATTGCGATTTCACAATGGCTGAACGCTTTTAAAGCATTCCTTTTGAAACACAAACTGACTTGGCCAGTATTCACAAATATCGTGACAGATTTCAGTTATGCCCAAATGAATGCCTTGTGTATAGGATGGAATGGTTTTACTTCCATATTCGACTACCTTAACTGGTGTTACAGAGTATTGGTTGAAAACCACAACAAATCTAATGTCACCATCATAAATATATGTGCAAATCATTACAAAAAAATTATAGTAAACCACGTCTACACATATTTTCAATCTGAAAAAAACCATCGTATGACTGTAGAAAAAACGAAAAGAAATGATGTTTTTGATTGGATATGTATACTTTTTAACGCAACCAGTTTGACATATGTTGAAATGGTTCAAAATATTTTCAGTCATACTGTTGTCACCTTATGGTACAGGACACACGAAAAATGCCACAGTACAATGAGAGCCAAGTGTTATGATAAATACCAATTGTCAAATGAATCGAACAACGAAGGTGAAGATCACTCGGAGGAAATAAATAAATTTCTATGTGAAACCAACACGAGTAATTCCATGATGTTCTGTAGATTTCAGTCAATCAAAGAACAGGTTAAATCTGAAGTCTCAAATTGTGCTGAAAATATAAGCATTAATGAATATTATGATGAATCATATTTACACAAGTTTATAGTTAAGTGTGTACCTTTCTTAGCACTGTGGACACCTATTATGAATAATAAACTCAGCAATGGCATTGAAATCCGCCAGAGTAATGCTACCGTTGAATCTTGGTTTAAAACAACCAAACAAGACATACTAAAAGGCGACCATAGTTTTAAATGCGGCCGGTTTTTAAAACTTATGAGACAGCGTGTGACGAATGTACACAAACAAATGAAGTACATATTAAAAAAGGAAAGTGCACTCGTGCGCTTGATTTTGATGCTAAATCTAAACAGAGTACTACTAAAGAAAATGGAAAAAGAAAAATTTCAGAATTGTCTAGCCTTAACCATTTAGACGAAACAGAGGGTTGGGGAAAAATAGAAAAACAACACAAACACCTCCAACCCATCAAGTACCGTCCTTTCAAAGCACTGTCGTTAAAAATCCCAAAGTCTTCAACCATAACAGCAGATAAAAATAACATTGTGGTTATAGAATGTGACAACGAGACTGGGTTCACTGTTGATGAGCCTATGAATAACGACATGGTTGTACATGATTTGAGTAAGCCATTGGACGATTGTTTAACAAAATCAGTTTCGACACCAGGCAGTCATAAATCTCCGTTTCGACTATCAACGCTAGCTATGGATTTACACTAAAATATGCAGTCTGATATTTCAAATGAGACGGCAATAAGTGTTTCGATTTGTTTGATTTATATTTAATGTATAAGAAGACCTGTTAATTAAATTCTAATTATTTATACAAATTATAAATACTGATTATGTTATACAAACTTAATATTATTGAAAAACATCAAAATATGGCATAATCAGAAATGTTATTAAATATGAACTTAAATATAAACAAAATCAATGAAAATAAAATTTTTTACATAACGAGTTCAGCCAGAACTAAACTTATTAATGGTTGTGGTTGATCTAATGTATCATGAACATTATAAAGGAGTTTTTGAATGAACAATCATACCATATAATACTGGAGGATATGACAAATTGAAAACATGAATTATTTTGAATACTACATCTACAGCTCTCTGAATTGTTAATATTTTATATTTTATGTCATCAAAATATACTAAGATAAAAATATACAATATATTAAATTATCATCATTAATAAAATAAAATAAAACAAAATAAAAATTCAGTACCAAGTTGTTTTCATATTTTAAAAGTATAAATTCTATTTAGTGCTTGAATAATCATAAATATTTTATTATTGTTCTTAATTATTAAATACAATCTTACAAACATATTATCATGTAGTTGTAGTGTTAAACTTTATTGTTGCATCAAATACCCATGTACACCAATAAAGTTGAACATGCTATAATATATTATGTATATGAACCATGAATGAAAAATTTATTTATTTATTTTGTAATAATTGCTATATTAAAATAAAGTAAAAACCTTTTTTCCTGGCAATTATATCTTCTACTTGAATAGATGATTCAACAAAAATAATAAATGATTGTTGTGAATCTCTGATTGAATATTTAATGAGGGATTTTTGTCCTTTGTCATCACGGGTTGTTTTTTTAGATGTTGGCACGAATAGAGCATGCAGAAGGCAAAATACATAACAATCTCGACTATCTAAAAATTATTTATATTCTACAATAAAGAATATCATAAAAAGGCATAAAATATTTACTTTCCGTTAGAAAATTTTCTTCATTTAAATCTTCAACTAGCTTAGTGCTTTGTGAATCTTTAATTTTGAATTTAATTAGTTTGATAAGTTTTGAAATATAATTAGGGTATACTGTATTACTGTCATTAAACTAGATGTATTAGGTTGAACAGTGAGAATATCAATATCAACCTTGAATGAAAAATTTTTTTTTAATGTTTGTATATAATATAATTATTTAGCACTTACCAATCTATATTCTGCTGGAAGCTTATAACTAGGCCAACATAGTAATGTTTCGGAGGTACTTTGACTTTTTCTAATACTTTTCAATCGGGTATTAACTGTAGCCGCCCATATAACTTCAATCTCATTAAACTTACAATTATCGTGTTTCAAACTATTTAAATAATGGTAAATATTAGTTTCACCTTCTGAAATTAAAAAATTAAAGGATACATTTCAAAAACTAAAAATTAGCTAGGTGATATTTGAAAATTTATACTGAAATGTTTTGTTTGGGAACCAGAGTTCATTGGTTTTACTGTATTTTTAGTTTTAAAAATATTAAATTTGTTTCACATACACTATGTGATAAAAGTGCATCAATAATTTGAGTTCAATTTAAAAAAAATTCCCATACTTCATCATTTTCTGGTACCAAGTCTCCAACCATCAATGAAAAGAAGTGAACAAAAGTCATCATTTCCCTAGCTGACATTTTAAGATGATGGTTATTTAAATGGTTAATATTTATAGAAGGAGAAACATTACCAATTTCTATTGGGCCATAATTAAAATTATTTGTCCTTAAATTTAATGTATCTAATGAAAATTATTTAGTAACTTCAGTGAAGTACTTAATTATATGACACATGTCATTGTGACAGATACCTTCAAAGTTCAAACAGATCGTGCATAATGTCAACACAGTAATTTTGAGTGACATGAAATGAAGTAATATTATTTAGAAATGAGTTCTTATGAATTCCTGGTTGAGTTACATTCATTTTAGCAACATCCTGACTATAATTGTTAATATTTCTCATTAATAAGGGATTTTCTTGGGTCATATGTTTGGTATGTTCTTTATTTGCTTTACAAAATTGACAAAAAAAAAAAGAGTCGGAAAAAGACCTAGAAAATTCTAAAATAGAATTCAATCCTAAATTATCTCCTAGTACTAGACCCAAAATAAAATGAAGATTTACAATTATATTTCCAGGGGTAGAGATGACAATTCCCTCATCTTCCAAAGTTTTCGATTCATATATAAGATTTTTAAGACATTGCTCATTAGTCATTACCATACTCTTTCAAATCAACAGATTTAATAAGAGGCGCTAAAAATATGTTGGAAAGTTTTGAATTATTTTCCATCAAAGGAAATTAATAATATGTAGCACTGACAGTTTGACATGTTGCATGTGAACCAAGAGGGTTGTTTATTTCCAAATCATCTATACATAAAAAGTAAGGAAATACTAGCTTATCACCATGATTTTTAATTTTATTTTTCCATAAGTCATCTTGAACAAAATTTGTCATTTTTTTAGATGAATTTGAATAGTTCAATCGCTCAAGTGATAATTGAAAATTATTTCCATTCTCAAAAAAACGTTGGAATTTAAATTTCAAGGGCCTTTAGTAATGTGCTCATCATAGACTACTTCACCATTATGATGAACTGAAGTTACTTCTTTATTAATAGTAATTTGAGTCAAGGGATTTATATATTGTTCATGACTGAGCTATTTCATTAATCGATATTCAGTATTACAAAGTTTCAACGGATTAGACACAACCGACGAAATTTCTTTAAATGAAGATGACAGGGTCAGTAACTTTATTTTTAACAAAATTATCTATAAGATCAGAAAAAGGTTTTGAAACTAAGTCTGTCATAAGTTCTTGAATATCCAAAACATTTTTAAAAGTAATACTATTTTTAACGTGTAAGCTAAGAACAAATTTTACAGCTCACAAATGTAATGCTGATACTGCTTCTTGAAAATTAAATTAATTTGATGTATCATCAGAAACAATATTATTAGAATAAGTATCATTAGTGGTTACATTTTGACTCATTGAGGTTTGGTTCTTGATTGGTAAAGTATTAGGCAGAGTATATTTTGTTTTATTTAAATTAAGATGTTTGCATTTAAAAAAGCTTAAAGATTGAAAACAAGACTCTTCACAACAATCGTAAGGACTATCCGGCCCTAACAAATGATAGACTTTAAAATGGACAACTAATGACTGTAAATACTGAAATTCATTTTTACATATATAACAAATCATTTTTGAAAGATAAAAAAATATTAAAATAATAAATAATTTAGCCTTCAAGTTAACAATGTACCTAACTAGGTATATCTAAATTATGCAGTGCAGTATAAACTGGTCTTGGATTAAAACTAAATTAATATGTAGGTATAGTAAAAAAATAAGTACCCGACACCTGTAGTTATAATATTGACAGTCATTGATCAGATACATCTGTAAACATAAAATAAAACAAAATAAAATTGAAATTATTCTTTTAGGCTTCAGCCTTCAATAAACATTGATTTAAATTTAAATATTATGTAAAATATTTATTATATCTTTGTAAATTATATTTGATCAATATTAACATAAATCATAATAGGTACCAACTGGCTACTACATAATATGTTTAATATAAACTGGATTGTTTGGATATACTAATTGAATGACCAAAGTCGTATGTACCGGGTATCTACATTAAAAAATGTTTAACCAATTAGGTTGATAAAAATTAGATCTTTATTATTTTTGCATAAAAAGAAAGAAGGATTATGTTATTATAATTAATAAATTGTAAGCTAAATGTGAGTCATGGTTTATTAATTCTTATATTATACACATAGGTATTCATCGGAAATGCTTTTGCATCCCGAATTTTTTCATTGACATTGCACTCCTTATAATATAAGTAAATATGTAGGACGTAGGTACTAAATGTCTAATAATTTGTATCCAGTAGGTACCTACTCAAAATATTGTTTTAAAATGTTACAGTGCCTAACTATTTTTGTAAGTACCTACCTAATTAATTAAATTTAATAAATATGCAAGATGATTCTACATAAATCCATAATATGGATATTATTTCTTCCTATTAACAAAAGCAATTGATATTTCGTGAAAAATTGTTTGGTTTAACAAATTAATACGGGAAAACATAACATGGCCACATGGAATGCTCAAAATAAAAGATGAATCGCAGTAGGTACCCTTTGCCATTTTGAGCCACATTAACCCCTTAAAGTTTGATATTATTTGAAATAAATTGAACAAAGGTGGGTTTAGATAGTAGGTAGGTATCTACTATATTACTTGGGAATATTATGGTTTATTTCAAATATTTCAAATTATATAGAACTATAAGGTTCATTCATTCTTTATTCTGCAATCTGCATCCCTTTTATTTATATCACAATGAATTGTAAAAAATATTTTAGGCCAATGAATGATATGACTTAATTTACCTAATGTAGTAATGTATAACCTACTTATCATTAGGTAACTGTTAAATATTTATTACCTACGTTTAAGTTGAATATTAATGAAAAATATATAATTTATTTTGTAGGTAGGTACATATTATTTTGTACACATCCAAACACCACATTATAGCAATATATACTTCGGCCCACGAAAGTCCATACGTAAACCGCGAATCGATATAGTAATACGCGACGTCTGTTTTCTCCCCCCATGATGTCATTCCCACTATTCGGCAACATGCAGATGCGCAGCGACGGACGCATTTGGACATATGGACTCTCGTGGGCCGGAGTATAGCGGTATAAATTCCTTTGTAATTGGGTAAAAATGTAAAATTAATAAAATAATAGATATTTTGATTTGATACAGATACAATTTTTAAGATGCATACTATTTTATAATAGCATAATACTGAGTGAAAATTGTATTTTTTTTATTATTTAATAAATAATAAATAAATTAAAACTAATTTAAAATATTTTGAGTGAGTAACCTACCTAGTAGTTCTAGTATCATAATTATAGCTTATGCCTTATATACTTTTAAAAATCAAGTTTCCAGTCAAGGATCTAACCCATTCTAAATTACCTACCTTTTGCCTAATTTTAAAAATTGCTAGTTATTAATTATAATTTATCAGTTAAAATAGTAAATATGGAAATGCTTACTCTTTTAGTAAAAGTTAAAAGTTGAAATTTATGACAATAATATACCTACTAACACTAAATATAAAATCATATCTGTATAACTGTAGGTATAAGTACTTACTAATATAGGGCCAAATAAATTGATTATTATAATTTATACGTAGTTAGTATATAGTTGGTACTTACCAACAGTGTCGGGTAAATTACTTTTAAAAAGTAATGAAATTACGTTACTCGTTACTTCAAATATTTTTATTTAAATTATACATTTGCGTTACCTAAAATTATTTTTATCACGTTACATTACTTTTTCATTGATAAAGTAGTGGGCTACAAATAACGTTACTTTTTTTTTTATAATTTATAGGGTTCTGTACTGTATTACTAAGGCTCCTCTGTCCGCCCGTTCGTCTGTAACCAGGCTGTATCTCACGAACCATTAAAGTTAGAAAGTTGAAATTTTCACAGTTCATGTATTTCTGTTGCCGCTATAACAGCAAATACTAAAAATCCTAGAATATATAATATAAGCAGTGTTGCAGCTAACATGTTTATAGCTGATGATGATTGATGGTACGGAACCCTTTGTGCGCGAGTCCGACTCGCACTTGGCCGGTTTTTCTTTTAACCATATTCAATTCATATGATTCAATTATTATGTATATATTTTACAATCATAGACCTAATGAAAATAGACCTATTATAGAAATATGTACAAATTTACTATCATCTCACCTATATGGCAGATGGCTATATAGTCATAAGTCATAAATCATAATTAATCTTTATTAAATTTTATTTTTAAACCAAACTCTTTTCTTTCAGCTAATAAAGTGGAAATGGTAATGGAATGTTTAGTAATATTGTTAACTATTATCGGAATCAAAAATAAATATACTTAGTTGATTTTTAATTTTTCTGGGATATCCTATCGGCTTGTTTTTGTAAGACATTCAAAACTATTATTTTAATTACTTGAAAAATAACGCGTTAGTGCATTACTTCATAGAAATTACTTTTCAAAAGTAATTTTGTTACAATTGCGTTATTTTAAGTAAAATGTAATGAAATTACTGCTGCGTTACTGAAAAAGTAATTGCGTTACAGTAATTTTTAATTTGCGTTACGTTACTACCCAACATTGCTTACCAACTGCGAGAACCAAAAGAAACAAAGACAAGTTAAGATTCATGTTTATATTGGAGTTCTTTATATTATAGTCACTAATCAGTTAATAGAATTCTTTCGACAGTTCGGAGGTGTATTATCTATGTTTTTCGGAGCATTAGACCTGATCTTTTATAGGACGAATATTGATGATCGGAAGATGCATACTAGGTGGTAGGTACTAGGTACTATAGGTAGTAAATAAACGATAATAATTTTTAACTACCTAATAATAATAATAAGTAATAACAACAATATGGCTTCTTGCGTGTGGTTCAACGCTCAGGGTACTCCCAATAGATAATTAACGATAGCCGCGATGGGTAATCAGAATATTAAACTCTATTATTAACCGACGAATTTACATTTTATATATAAGTATATAACGACATAAAGTATTTCAAAGATCGCGGTGTAGTTCCTAAATAATCAAAATATTTTACTTAATGTGCTTCAAACATCAAGCGTTCACTTGTAGAATGTAGATATCAATAATATTATAGATAAATTCCGAATCAATATAATTACTAGGTACCTAAGGTAGGTAATAGAGTTTTAAAATTATTGGTCATAACTCATAAGTTATAACCATTAGTAGTTAATGAGATCAAACAACTCCAGATAATTATAAGGCTAACATAATATATTATGGCGTTTTCTATTATTTTTTTTTAAAATTTTTTTTTTTACCTATTCTGTTTCACATTTTATTATAATATACCTATAAACGTATAGCATATTATAATATACCTATAAACGAATAGCATATTATAATATACCTATAAACGTATAACATATTATATCATATGCCTACCTATAGTAGTTATATATTATTATTTTTTTTTTATTGAAATCAAAGATTAATACATAAACGCATGTTATATAAATAACATAATATTATACTTAATAACTAATTCTTAATTTTTGATGTATTTTTTTTATGTTTACATTAATCTATACATTTATCAATATATTGATTTTACAATGATGTATTTTTTTGAATGTTTACTCAATTAATAATAGAAAAATGATTTGATTTTCAAATGCAATATATTTTCTAGGTAGGAAATAAAATCAAGTTGGTACATTTGGGAAATCAAAATGAAAAATTGGCAAAAGTTTTCTTAACAATTGGAAAAATATAAAATTCAAGAAAAATTGCAAAGTAGGAGTTTTTCACGCATAATTTGCAGTTTTTGAAAAAATAGATCTTCTTAATTTTTAGATTCTGAGTGAAACGATGCATGTATTGATTTTACAATGATGTGTGTTTTTTTATTTATTTTTTTATTTTTGTGTCGGTCATCACGTTTTAGAACAGTAAAAGTGCTTGGGTTTTCTTCAACAGTAGCTTTTCTGAAAGGAAAGTGAATCTAGTTGGTACTTTGGTCAAAAGTAAAAATTTCTTGGTAGTTTTCACAAGCGCCGGGAAAATCAACATAAAAATTAAGGAAAAACGTGAATTTTTATGCAAAATCAGTTTTCCAAAAAACCGATTTTGGTTTTTGGTGTAACTCTAGAAGAAATGAACATTGAACGTATATACATGAAATTTTCACTGGTTGTTTATATTTGCATTTTATATATACGATAACATTTTCAAAATATTTTGATTTATTTTGAACTGGTTAGGGACATTTTCATTTTCCATTTTTTTTTAGTTTTTTTTCTAAAAATATCAATAAAATTGTATTTGTTGGTTGCGAAAGCTTGAAAATTTAATAGAAGGCTCCTAGTATATTGTTTCAAAGGCAGATGAAAAATATTAAAAATCCTAAGTCAACATTTTTTTTTATAAGCATTTAAAGTTCAAAAATTGGCAAAAATATGGAAAAATCACTAAAATTAGCAAATTATTTTGAGTTAAGAATTCGTAAGAATTTTTCTTTTTAAATCTCAGATTTGAAAATGTAATACAAGATTCCTTATAAGATTATCTACCTTTATCAAAAAAAAATGTCTATAAGAAAGTCAAATTAAATTTTTATGAGCGTTTGAAATTCAAATTTTTACAACATTGGATATTCACTCGATTTCTCATGTAGTGATTTCCTTATTTTGTTGTAATTCAAAAACGAATAACTGTAGATACATGAAAATTTCACTAAATGTTAAAATTAGCATTTCCTATACACCATACAATTCCGAAAATATTTTGACTCTTTTTGAGCTATTTACGGACATTTACCGCTTTCAATTTTTTTTAAGTTTTTTTTTCTATAAATATCAATAAAGTTTTATCTGTTGGGCCAAAGAGTGTAAAAATTTAATACAAGACTCCTCATATATTGTTAAAATATCAATTGAAAAATATTAAAAATACATAGGAACAGTTTTTTTTTATAAGCATTTAAAGATCGAATTTTGACAAAATTTATCAAAATCTCGAAAATTATCAATCATTGTAATTAATAAATTATGAAATGTTCAGTTTTTATAGCTAAGGATTGTAAATTTAAAACAAAGGTTCTCATAAATAGTTCATATTGTAACCAAAAAATCTAAAAAATATATGAGCACAGTTATTTTTTACAGACATTTTAAATTCATATTTGGACAAAATTACATATTAAAAAACCTAGAATACCTAACTATTTTAGTTATTTTGTTGTGATTGAATAATATTATTCGTGGGTACTTGAAACTTCTAAAGTGTACTATTATATATCTATGATAGTATCACGGTTTTTGTTGATGTATAACGCGTTATAAGTACCTAATGGATATTGTGATATGATTAATTTTGAATTTATTGTAGGTACCTATTATAGGTCAATTTTTTGTTTAATACCATAGATATGTATATAATATGCCTTATACCTAGACTGACATACCGTCTCCGCTCAGAATCGTTTTTCTTATACAATGATATTATATCGTTGAATTCAAAGTTAATATCATCCATTATACAGTGACCCACTTGTAACCTACTGTACAGCAGAGCGACACCCACTTGCCCACCTTTTTTGTAATTCAAATTTGAATAAATGTAGAAAGGTACCTACTTATTGCTTGACATTTTACTAAATGTTTATATAGGTTATTATTTAACATAACCTAACCTATCATATCACCAGATATGATGAAAGTGTTGCACATAGCACCCTCACTCCCAGTGCCCACATGGTTGTTCAAACTTGTTTGGGTAGATATGTCACAACCCTTTAATCGCTGAACTTGCTTCCAACTCACTGTCTCACTCCCTAGTAATCCCCCACGCCGTCTAAAGAGAAATTGGTGTCGTGATTTATTAAATGATTGATGGTTCATACCAATTAATTTTAATTTAATTTATATTAAGTTAATAATTAAAAAATAATTAAAATAACGTTGGGTTCTATCACTGGATGGCCTCCCTCCTCATGTGTTCAGGTTGTAAAAAAATTTTATGTATGTGTTCAAATTTGCTTATTATGCCTTGTAGCATAGATTGTAAATATTCTAATAAAAAAAAAAAAAAAACATTTGAATTAAATGATATAAAATCATTGCTATTAAAGTAAATTATTTTACTATTACTTATTAGTTATTACTTATTAGTAATACAGTAGGTTGAACTTTTAAGTTTCAAGCATCCATGAATAATATTTTTAAATTAAAAAAAAATAACTAATATTGTTATTCTTCGTATATCTAATTTCGTTGTAATTTGAACTTAAAATATCTATAAAAAAAAAACTGTTCATATATTTTTTAAATTTTTTGGTTACATGCTGTATACAGTATACACTGCTTACGAAGAACCTTTTTAAAATGTTCAATATATTTTCCAATATTTTGTAATAATTTGCTTATAAATATAGACGTAACTAAACTGTTATAAATATATACATTATACATATATTATACTTATATTATTATTCACATTTTATTTTTAATGACGATTGGAGACACTTTTTTTCTATGGTTTATATTCAACTTTGATTCAACAGCAGAACTTCATGTAACTACTTAACTCTAGTGACGCTTATGATGATGGGGAGTTTGAAGAGTTTTGCCGCCCTATACACCCTATACGCCACTCCATATTTTGTACTTTGGTTTTATAGGACTCTATATAGCAGCTAGCCCCTATTATAGTTACGATTATGTGTATAGGATAAAGCCCTAAGAAAACAATAACTATAAAGACAATTTAATTATTTAAACGAATTCTATATAATATACATAGGTATGTTATTAATTATTATCGGGTACTGCAGGTAAAAACTCGATATTAATTTAACACAGCGGAGTGGATTTGTATACTATAGCACGCCATTATAATAGGTATATTATTTTTTTTTATTTAAATAAATGTGTAGGTATGCACAAAGATTATAATTAAGTTTCTGTGATAATAACGTTGATCGAACGGCAAACTACCGACGTTTCTAATAGGATTAGATATACTCCACGAGAAGTCGTGTTTCAACCGTTTGCAGTCAGACAGCGGTGCGGGAAAAAAAAGCGGAAAACGCGTCTCTTATGGCGTGAAACGCGAACGCATAACAAGCCTCCGAACAGCCAGGATGATCGTGGACGACTGCAGCGGGCCGAGTCGATACTCCTCCGCTGTCGCCACTGTCATCACTGTCACCACTGCCATCGCCACCGCCTCCAACGCTATCGCCACCACTATCCACCGTCGCTGCAAACACGTAACACGACGGCGTCGCGCTCACGGTGGTCACGACATGCCCGCCAGTCACTTCCATCGCTTCACCGGACACTAGTCGCACGGCCCCATCATCGTCTAAACCACTGGTCCACGATTCATGGACGGCAACGGCACCCTCGAGCACAGCCAACGTGGTGGTGGTATCTTCCCGGTCGTCCGCGACGTTTCTCACAGTCATACCTATGTAGACGGACAAACATATAAGACAATAAATGACATAGATATTTTGAAATCTGAAATCGCGTCCACATTAGTGCGATACTTAGCAGGGACACAATTAGGATCGAAATGAGGAGTTTGGCACGACTTAAATGATACACCGTAAAATCAGTGTTTACACCACCACCTAACACCAACAGCTTTAGAAGAATAAAAAGTGTGCACAAAATAATCATGACAATGACGTACGATATGTAACGTCATTTTCTTTAAATCGAACTATATAATATTACTTTTCTCCTATAGCCTATAGGTAACACTCAGGTCTCGGAGTCGGGATCTGAGTCTGGATGCTATATGTCTTTGCTTTTGAAAGAATTACCTTATATTATAATGTGTTGGACTACCATTATCTACTTGTATATTATTTGTCCATTGCTAAACGTTTATTGTAATTAATTTAACTTTATAAGATTACTATGTAGATTTAGTCTCATAGGTGTAATTTCAACATTTGACTTGGGGGGGGGGGGCTGAATATATTAAATGCAAGCAGACCATTGCAATATAGCATTTTAAAATTGTATGTCCTAGGTTTTTTTTTTTGGGGGGGGGGCTTAGCCCCCCTCAAGATCCCCAATTTGCGCCTATGCCTATATTAGTACTTATACTATAATATTATAATATTCTATTCAATATAAGTGGAAACCCGGGCGGCCGTATTGTGCGCATGGCATCGGTTGCTCTGTTTTGGCTACAGGTGGTTGATTAAACAGGGAAAACATTTGGTGTCACCGACGAAAACAGGTAGCCTCCTAGGGTAGCTTTTAATGTTGAACGGAGTATAAACAAGTACCAGTAAAGGTTACGTGTTGGGTTGATAGAGATGGAGACGTTACAGTTGGTGGAGGCGCTGAGCAAGGTCAGTGCGCTGGGCAAGTTTCATTGAGTTGAAGTTAGTTGTTGTTTTTTAGTTACGATTGATCATATGAAAATATATTTAGTTTTAAAAAATGTTCAATAAATCAATCTTCAGAGTTTTTGTGGCACGGGTTCATTCATACATTTTTTTTTTGTAATCAAATCAAACTTTTTTAGGAAGAGTGATTGGATACGAAATATAATGACCAAATGTCAGGCGTTAAATTATGATCGTACCGGGGAAATCAGCGAAAAATAGTAGATCGTTGTCGGTGCTGCGTTTTGCGTCCACTATCCAAGGCCGCCACCAGTCCAAGTGCCGGATCAATGGCAATAGCCAAGGCACGGATGACCAGGGTGACCAAGGGGCGTGCAATAAGTCCACGTTTGGGTCAACCAGTCGCTGGTGGAACCGGCCGTTGAGAGACCCCCATATGTCCATTGTGATGGATATGTTGTCATGCCTGTCGGGCATATTGGCGGCCACGCACCCCGCAAACTGCTTCAACATATCGCCGTGCAACATCCACTTGTTGTTGTCCGTCCAGCCCTGTCGCGGTGACGTATTATTTTAATAATATAATATTATATAATATTATTTGTTGTATGTATCAAAAATTTAATGTTCTTCAGTTAAAAATATTATTTGTTTTAAAACGTTGAAAGAATAGTATATTCCAGTTGTCAACTGTTGATTTGTAGTGTACTCTGCTAAACTTCATCGAAAGGTTTAAAAAGTAGGTATACCTAGTGCCGTGCTTTTTTAATGTTCAACGAATCTAGTATAAATGCATTATCTTATATACGAGTCCCACTCGTTGGAGATAAAATCGTATACTATTATTCGTAAGATGATGAAAACAAACCATTTCCCTTGTAAATATTTCAACTATAAATTCAATTTGGCCATTAAAAGATTAAAAATAACTAGGTATCAATATATTATAATATCATTGGTTGTGAATACTATATATACGTTTATAAATTTATACTAATTCATAATCAAGCTGCCCACCTGGCGTTATTCGGGCCAAAAATTTGTATTTTTAATAAATATATCTGTAAAAAAAAATGTATATGCCTTTTTTTTTGTAAGCTGAAAATAAATCAAGTGTGAGCTAATCTTTAGCTACCACTTATAGGAGATGCATAAATAAGATATAAACATCTTTCAAGTTTCAGGGAATCCATAGATATAACTTTTATTGAAAACGGTCCAGTATAGTTTTTAAGTATAATATTACCTTCGGTTCAACATCCATTTTAGCGGTATTATCCGACTTTGCCCTTGAAAAAATTAAAAAATATAAAATAAAGTGCTTTATTGGTGTATTTCACTTTTGGTGTACCCCAGTTCAAGGGCAAATTTTCGTCCTCATACCTCGCTTTGTAAACTAATTAGACCAAGATCGACAATTCATCTGCGGTGGAGCGAGTGATAGCACTTAATAATATTTATTTTATTTTATTTTATTTAAATTTAAATCTATGAGATTACTGGGCTTCACTAAGACATACTCGTGTGGAGGCCCAGGGTTATCTACTATACATTACACATTTGCATAAAAATTATAATTGACAGACATCTTCAATATTTGTGTTTGAAATTAATATCCTAATTATACAATAAAGGTAAAAACAAAAACAAAAACAGATAAAGTAAGTTATAGGTAGATAGGTACAAAATAATTCATGACGAAAATAATACTAATATTATAAATATAGACATGGAAGCAATAGGTAACATAAGATTCTGAATGATAATGTGTGTGTGAAATGTGAATATAATGGCATATTTTTAATCATATTTAGTGACGTCACATTCATACATTAACCAGTGTGTGATATGTTTCTTAAACAGTGGCAATGGCATGTTTGCTAAATAAGTTGGCATTGAATTGAAAATCTGGGTCCCTATGAAACCAAATACGTTTCGACAGATGGTTTTTTTTTGGCCAAAATTGAGAGTATTTATTTAGTGCGTACCTAGTATTGACACCATGGTTCAAAGGGAACAGTATATTGTGTTTTTTTATATACAAAATGCTTATTTTAAAGTACAATATACATCGAAGTTGGTTCAATCTACTCTACATTTTCATGATATCTCCAATAACGATTTGAAATTTTCACAAAATCAGTTAAGTGGTTTTTGAGTACCTATACAAACTACAAACATACATTCAACTCTCATAATATTTGTTTTAAGATATATTTTCTTTATTCAAAACCATAAATGTGAAGATGAGGGACGGAGTGGCTGAGCGGACTAAGGCGCTGGTTTGCGACGCGTACCGTCGCCGGTTTGAACCTCGGTATCGGGCGGCACTTCTCTTCAGGCAGTCACTGTGTCTGGAGAGAGAGCCCCCCCAATTTTAAACCAAGTTAAAAACCACCAAATGGCCTATGTTGCCACGGGTTAATTAATAAAAAAAAAAGGCGATGATTTGATGTATGATTTTACCTCATCTGCCTGAGTAACTAATGGCAACCATTTATTACGATGGATATGTTTGTTTGTAAATGGTTGCTATTGGTTTTAATAATAATAATTATTATTGGAGCGATACGCCTGTTGGCGTAGTGGCACTTCTGTACCTAGTTCTATGTATTTGAGTATAGAATGTCACAAGTTTATCTTTTCGGCGGAAAAATTATCTTATTATTCTGTTATTTATTTTTATTCTTTATCTATACATTATACATAAGAATGTTTGGTTTTATTTTATTCATCGAATTTTAGTATGGTTGGGTTAGAATTTTGTATTAATTGATTGACGATTGTATTACTCCGATTGAATTAAGTAAAAACGACAAACTTCGTATAACTTTGATACTTACATACAAACCACACGGGGCCCGAGATCTACCATAGGTATATTGCCTACCTGATAATTTACTGCTGTGAATCTCACTGACATAGTCGGTCGGGATGGCTGTATATTAAAATATAATATCATTTAAACTTAAAAAACATTGCTTCCACAGCGTGTTATCCCCAAAAAGAGTTGAACAATCAGGTTTTTTTTTCCGGCAACGCCGGGTTAGGTTAGGATTTTGTATTAATTTATTGTATTAATCCGAAGTATGTTGAATCAAGTAAAAACGACAAACTTAGTATAACTTTGATAATTTAGAGTTAAATTTTATACTTACATAAAAACCACACGGGGTCCGCGATCTACCGCAGGTAAATTGCTTACCCGATAATATACTACTCGCATAATCACAAGCGAATCTGACGGACAACGCCGGTCGAGATGGCTATACATTAAAATATAATATAATTTACACTTTGAGACATTGCTTCCACAGAGTGTTACAACCATACGGAGTTGAACAATCAAAATTTTTTCCGGGCAAATTCAGCTAATATATAATATAAAGAAATACCAAGTATACAAATGCATTATTATGTATTTACTGTTTATACGCAGTGGTTTGCCACTAAAGTGAAATATGGAATTTTCTGCCAGTTTAAATACTTTTAATTTGAGCCCCTAATAATTTAAGTGCGTTTGTAATCCACTTCAAAATATAAAGGGCCTTAAATTTATAACTTTTGTCAGTATATAATATTGCAGATTATACACAATATGTGGCACAAATTACAATTTAAAAATTTAAAAAGCGGCGCAAATTGCCAAAATAACCTTTTAGATGTGGCGCAAATTCCAGTTTTCCGGTAGTTCTCAGCTCAAATAACAATACATATACCTAGCATGTACGTCATTATACACGAACTCATTAGAGCGGAAATGCTGGATGAGCATAATATTATAATGTATAAATAAATAATTTACCTAGGGCTTAGTATACAATTGTAATTAAAATAATTATGTAATGGGTTTATTATTACGTTCGGATCTAAGTAGAATTGTTCACGGCGCACGTGGTCCAACACCTTTATTTGTACCTTGGCCACGTCCACGTTATACACCATCATGTCCCAAGAATATCCGTATAATCCGTTTCGCCATCCGTTGTAACCCTGTAATAAATCATAAATGTAATAGGCCAGGGATGGCCTAACCGAACCAGGGATGGTGAACCTACGCACATAGGTTAGATTTTAACGGGATTCGAACATATTTTTATTTCATTAAACATACTCTATAGTATTTGATAAAAAAATTCTGTATTATTTCTTTAAAATAAAGTTCCTAATTAATAATTATTAAAGTATTTTGAAATTATCACTGCTTCTAGACATAATATTTTATACTTTGAAAAAGTAGCTCATTCCAAATAAATAACAGAATATTTACGTCAACGTGAAAGTTATTATTTTCCACAACGAATTATTTCAAATCAAAACAGAGGAATAATATACTTTGTCGGATGAAGCTGCAACAAATTCTGCAGAGGAGTAACCTGGGGGGGGGGGATCTGAGGAGTCTATATTCCCCTTCATTAACCGTGTTTATTTTTGCCTATACTATAATATTATATTTAAAAAAATGATTTTACATAATTTGTAAGTTAAGGAAAGTTTAATGGAGATTTGAAGTGGGACTTTCCTTCTTATACTGAATTCCCTGCTACACCACTGAAATACTGCTTGCGTTTCATTAAAACATTTAAGACTAACATAACACACAACTGATACTAATCAATTATAATTAATTATTAAAAAAAAAACGTACGTACCTAATATACTTACTTGATTGATGAACTTTTTTACGTTGGTGAAAATTAAGTTCATTTTAATATTAATAAAATAAAATTTAAAAAGCTTAAATACCAACGAGAACGGTAAAAGTCAAGTAAAAAATCCAAAGTCAAGATGAAAGCGGAAGATTCGTGGTCAAAGTAAATACAATATTCATAATCTCAAGGTTATACACTTATACGTACTGGTCACAGAGTTCGTGTTTATAATATACCTGTGTCACTATATGCGAGTACGGCAAAAACAACTGCAAAGCTGTGTACACGCACACTCCAGCGACGATGGCGTTTTGTTTGGTCCGAGTCGGTGGTTTGTAGACGATAGACTTTGGTGCAGATTTGTTGTTCCAGAAAGATTCAACAACGGTCCTCAACATCTTAGACATCGTAGCTGGGTCGCAAAATACCGGTATCATTGCGGCGCAAACGTATGGAAACATACCTGCGCAAGTATAATATGAGAACGCTATATTATTCGATTTTGATAAAAATAAACACCTTACAGCTTTGTAATAGTAACAATAATCAGTAATTCAATTTTAATAACTACAGTTTTTAAAGGTAATTCGTAATGCAATTTAATTACCAATAAAAAGTAACCTCCTCAACATTGTATAATACAGATATCACATAGGAAACTATACTATATAATATGTAATCAATAATTATATGGATTGTTAACATGAAGTGTCTCATTATCGTCTACATGTGCAGATATACATATATGTGTGCGAAAGAGATAAATCACACTTGTCCGCCTACTTCGGTATACTCACCTATGGTAAACATGGTTGCGTTCATGCCATGAAATGCAAGCAGCACGATGATGGTGAACGGTCTTGTGGACCGGAAACACAGTCCAAATCCCGAAAGCAAGTCGATGAGGAATCCTCCGACGTGCACTATCCAATGATCTATGAATTCAGCTGAGAAGAAGTACCTGCAGCAGTTTTTGGAGGCGAAAGCAACATTTATTAATAACTCACTAACGCTGGTTTAATGTTTGCCACTTAAGTCGAGTCGACTGACGGAGTTGATTAATGTATTATAATATAATATTCAGTGGCGTAACTTCAAAAAATGTTGAAGATTTTGGGACCGGAATCGAAATTTTCAAAGCCCCTTCATCTAATCAAGTATCAGAGAGTTCAATAGTTCATATAGGGGTGTTCGTTCATTTTCTGAAATTGTTTCATGCACTTTTTTTAATACCTACATCGTTTTATGAAGACTAACTAGGAAACAGAGCATAATATCTATATATAATGAATGTCTGTCTGTTTGTGTGTCCATATTAACATGGCAACCATTTATAAATTATTTTGATATTTCCGATGAATTTTTTTGTATATAAATGGTTGATATAGGTTTTGAAGCCAAAATAATAATAACTATTGGTTGCCGGGCAACGATGTGCATGGAATCAGCTATTAATATATTAGTATATAACTGGCTGATCCTGTGCACTTCGTTGCCCATTAAAAATGCCAACTCTATATAATATGAATAATATGTTTTTTTTATAATATAACAGTTACCATAACAACAATTTTAAGCCAATTTGCAACCAATAATAATAATTATTATAGCTTTGAAACCCAAGGCTTGAAACCCATCAAAATCCTTGTTTAAGCACCTCATCCCGGGGTTGGTTCTCTCCCTTTTTAAATTAGCCTATCTTCTGCACAGATGTCTAATCTATCTATATACATAAAAATATCTGATCCCGTTCACATCATTGCCCATTAAAATTGCCAACTCTTTATGAATAATATGTTTTACATGTCACCATGGCAACCATTTATATACAAAACATTCCATCGGAAATCTTAAAATAATATATAATTGGTTGCCATGGTAATATGGAGACACACACAGACGGAAATCTCGAAATAATATATAATTGGTTGCCATGGTAATATGGACACACAGACAGACGCACATACATTCATTCATTTATATATATATACTAGCTGTTCCCGTGCACTTCGTCGCCCGTTAAATGGATCAACTCAATACTACCTACTCAAACTTTGTTCAATTCATTAACGTGTATGGTGTTCAAAATTTATCTTATCTTTCCCGTTGCCCTGAATAAAAATTCTGAATCGCAGCAGTACATTATCAGGTAGGCAATCTACCTGCGGTAGATCGCGGACCCCGTGCTGTTTGTACGGAAGTGTATGATTTAACTCTAAAGTATCAAAGTTATACCAAGTTTATTTTGATGTAATACTGTGGATTAATATAATAAATTTAGTTGCTCGTAAAAAATCGCAACTCTTAAAAAAATTATGATTGTTGAACTCCTTTTGGGTGTAATTTTCTGCGGTAAGTGCAACTCTGCCACCCTGGTAAGCATTGTTCAATAATTCGATTTGATGCAAGCTTGTACCTGATCTGCCCGAATAACCAATGGCAACCAATAAATAAATGCTAATTTCTAATGTAGACTGTAACCAATGGCAACTATAAATAAATAAAAATAAAATTTCCAATTTCTATCGTGAATCTCAATGTCCCTGTTTCAGCACCTATTTAAAATGCGAATTTTGGCAAATCCTTTCTTAGCGCACGTCTATATTATAATAGCTATCTGTATGCCAAATTTCAGCCAGATCCGTCCAATGGTTTGAGCTGTGCGTTGATAGCAGTCAATCAGCTTACTGTTTTTTATATACAGATATGGTTGCCATGGTAATATGGACACACACACACACACACACACTGACATACATTCATTTTTATATATTATATAGATTGATATGAAATCTTGGTAACCTTAGTAACCATGGCAACCTTGGTAACCATGGTAACATGGCCACACAGACACACAGACACACTGACACACTGACATACATTCATTTTTATATATATAGAAGATATATATAGATATAGTAAATAGTAAGTATAGTATTTTGAAAATATATGTCTATTTGCAAAATACGTGTAAATACTTTCAAGTTTTTATTAAACAATTTGAATTTCCCGTAATAGTAATCATAAGTTTCACCCCATACCTATAGTCTATATACATGAAAATTGAGTCGGTATAACATATTATTATTCACACTCATTATTCCTACATGTTCATTAAATTAATAGTAAATTCAAGCATGCCTTGAAACATTAAAATAAATTAAAAACAGTACCTAGGTATATTATTAAAAGAAAAATATACTTTGGGACCCTAGCGTTCAGGCTCGGGTTCTACTGCATCCACTGATCACTCATGACTCATGAGTTATGCCACTGATAAAAATATTTGTTTTTCAAGAAATTAATTATATATTATATGCACCTGAAAGGGGTGAACACGTGATGGTGACCCAACGACATCATCGAGTAACCCCACAGCCAATCAGGTTCAAACTTTTTTAGGCCAGCTACGAAGTACATGATGAAAAACTGTATCCTGAGCAGTAGATAGTTCCAACGGGGCACCAACAACGGCGCGTCCAACGGCATTTTTCGCCGAAGCCATCTGTCCACGGACCTTCGGGGTAATATGCGTGTGGTGAAAACATAATTTATTATATGTGATAATAATTTCACTGTTTGTGAAGTTATATTTTTTTAATACCTAGTTGAATTACATCACAAATCACCTTTAAAAATTGTAACTAAATTATTCTTAAGTTACTTTTGTTTTATTGGGTTGTTACATATTACGTTTGAGTTAAAAAAAAAAAGGCGTACAAGTGGGTGTCGCTCGTCTGTAGAGTAGGTTACAAGTAGGTCACTGTTATGGATGGGGTTAAATTTGATTTCAATGATATATTATCATTGTATACGAAAAAGTAAAAACGATTCTGAGCGAAGAAGGTCAGTCAGACTATGTTATTATGGCGAAAAGTATGCACAGTGGTTTTGAAGATTAAAAGAAATATGGTTGGAAATGCACAAAAATTAAATATAGATTGACGAAGATTGTTTCGATGGCCGAAGGAAGTACCATAGGGGTAGATTATTAGCTGGAAATGCTCCTCCCTCTTTGACAGATATAAAAGCTGAGGCAATTAATAACCAAAATCACGATGTACGGGTAGATGGTCCCTGGGTATTTGGTTTAAAAAATGGTAACGTTTGAGGTTATTTTTATGTTCATCGACGAGATCGAGAAACACTTCTACCTATAATAGAACGTGAAAGCGAGGCAGGATCAGAAATTCATTTTGACGAATGGGCTTCATGTAGGTGTCTCACAATCTAAGATTTTGTACACAAGACGCAAATCACCAATCTCGTATTATCTCGATGCAAATTAATCTTGAGCCCACACTCAAAATATTGAGAGGTCATGGTTGTACTTGAAAATTAAATTATTGAAGAAAATGAGGAATGTTCTTCTCAATAATTTTCAGTCCCATCTTGATCACTATTGCTGGCCACTTTACCGACAGTCCGGACCTTTTTCTTGCCATGTTAGAAGACATTCAGAAATAGTGAATCATCAATAAAATAAAACGCAATCGAAACGACGTACTGTAGAGCACATAATTACTCAAAACCTTGTCGTCAGTAGAGAGCATACCAAAATGGCACCAATTTATTTAAATATTTATGTGGAACCATTGTTTTCAATTTTCAATCCTTAGCTATAAAAGTTGAACATTTTATAAATTTTTAACTACAAAATAATTTTTTAATTTTGTCAAAATTCGAACTTTAAATGCTTCTAAAAAAAAATTGTGCCTATGTATTTTGGATATTTTCCCACTGCTATAGTAAAAATATACCAGGAGCCTTGTATTAAATTTTCACGCTTTTTGACCAAACAAATACAATTTTATTGTTATTTATAGACAAAAAAAAAATAAACAATTATTAAAATGTCCACAAATGAGTCAAAATATTTTGAACATTTTATCAAGTATTGAAATTGATAAAATAAACATATAGTTTTAATGTCAAATATAAACAGTTATTAGTTTTTATTGATCCGCTAAGAAAATTTTATTTTTGTAGCAAACGGATAAAAATGTCTCCCAAAGGATGAATTTGTCCCCAGTGGATCAAAATGTTCCGATACCACTAGGTTCATTTTCCATTGAACAAGATATTGAAGTTGAAAATTGAAGCATTAATTCGACTACTTATCGTGTTCACAGAGACAAATAAAAAAATTTAAAAAAACACACACATCATTGTAAAATCATCAATACATTCAACGCTCTGCTCACAATCTAAAATAGTAACATGCTAATAAAATAAAATTTTTTATTTCAAAAAATATAACTGGATTTTTGTAATGATTTTTATCGATACTTACATCAATTAAGTAATGACAACCAACAGTATGAAATTATATAAAATGTTTATTCAAGGACTAAAAAACACAATTATTATTTAACACATTATTCTTTATTATTTTAATAACAATGCATTTTCAAAATGACTACTAATTAAAAATAAAACTTTTTAGTCAAATAGCTATTATAATAATGTTAGATCGAAAATTGTTCTTAGGTACCTATATGAATATTCAATATTTCAATATACCTATGATATATTTAAATATATATTATCAATTGTTTCTTACTTCTTAAAATGTATTAAATAAAATAAAGTAACGATTAAATTACCTAGTAATCTTACTTCAAAAAAGTAACTTACATTTTGTATACATTTCTTAAACTAAATTGTAATTAAATAACCATCCAATTACTTTAAAAGTAATTTAATTTCGTTACTTGCAACTTAAGTTAATTAAGTTATGTACTTCCTAATACTTTAACTATATAACGGGTATTATAGCGAACGAGACAAAATATATTATTAGGTACTCTGCTCACCAGTTGCGATGAGCGTCTGTTACGGAGAAAATAGCGATCAGCAGTCCGAACAAATACGAATGGTTGTTCCACGAGCTCTTGTCAGCCAAAAATATGTACCAGTAAGGGATCGCGTATACAGCACAACTAATCCGGTAGTGGAAACCGGTGAACACGCCGAGCACTCCTATAGCACAGCACGAGTAACGGAATAATGAAGTTTATAAGTATATGGATAAGTGTTTGGGTGTAAATATTATACACAAATACACATTACACTGTTTGTAGTACTTATAATAATATATATATTATATAAGTAGCCGCATATGGATCAGATAAAGTATTTTATGTCGAGTAGATATAGCCATAGGCGTATAAGTGGACAATTTCCAAAGCGCAAAGATGTGCATTAACTTGTTAAAAAGTTAAAGTTAAGTTAAAAAGTTAATTATTTTTGTTTTCAACTTATTAAATTATTCAGTTAAAATGTTTATTGTTGTAACTTAACTGTATATAGTTAATTATCATTGACGTGCATTTGAATTAATTTTCTTTTTGTGTAATGCGTAATCAATTACACAATACTGATTCGTTGACTCTTTTTCTATTTTGGTCATTTATTTTTGAATTATATATTATTAATTATAACTATCTAATTTTTTACACAGTGTTAAACGCCTTGGCAAATGTTTATGCATAACAAAATACTAGGGTAGTTTATGACTTATAAAAAATATTGTAACTTGAAAAAGAATTAACTTTTTTTTAACTGAGTTATGTTAATTAAATTTTTTATCTTAACTTTAAACTTATCTAGTTGATTTTTTTTTGTTAACTTTTAACTTAAATGAAGGGAATTTAATTGAATTAACTTAACTTACCACAATTAATTATTTTCATTAACTTGCCCACCTTTACTAAAGAGGAACAGACAAGAATAGAAGCTTTTGAGATGAAGTGCTACAGAGAATGCTTAAAATAAGTTGGACGTATATGGTAGCAGACGAGGAAGTATTAAAAAGAATGTGCAAGAGAACAAATCTAGGGAATAATATCAAGAAAAAGAGAAAGTAATGGATTGGACATGTATTGAGGCATGGTGGGTTTCTGGGATTAATTAAAGAAGGCTGCGTAGAAAGTAATAACGCTAAGGGAAGATCATGAAAGGAGTATATGCAACAAATTATAAAGGACTAAGGGTGTAATCTTACTAAAGAACCAAAAAGGCAGGTAAGTAACACGGAAGAGTGGAAAATTGCTACAAACCAATTTCAGGATTGAATACAAAAGAGAGATAGAGGTATATTCACATGGACAATTTTTTGGCGTCAATATCATATAAACACACATGCACCATATATATGTATATATAGATATTTATGTATATTGTATATTTTTATATATTTAGTAAACATTTTTGTGACTGTGATTTACCGGAAAACATTGCTGCGTACGCCAGGCACATCCATCGGCCTGGCAGTGGTTTAACAAAGTCGAAAAGTGGAAAATAGCACTTCATGGGTTCCATCCATCGTTTTTCGGCCTGGCAAAAACCACGTTCATCCATCGTGTCGATCATCATCAGCAGACCTACTTATTACAGTGTCGTACAACTCTCATAAAATTGCTAAAATTCACTGCAGGTTTCAAATCTCAACGATCATTATCGTAGACCGTAGTATAATGTTATCTTAATGTAAAACCTCGTCGCGTCGTCTCGAACATATTTTTGTACAGGGCATAGGTATACACCGTACGGTGCATTATATTATATGGCTTTGTTGACTTATTATAGATATTTTATCATACTTAACACCAATTGGGCGTACAACATGAGTACTACAAAAATTACAATGTGGTTCACCAAGCATAATAGTCTTCATATAACTTTAAATTTATTAAAAAAATTCCAAAAATAAGATTTTGAATACCTAACTGAATTATTTGAGAAAGAGTGATTAATTAATAAATATTATGAAAATATTAGTGTTAATAATTGATCCAACATTGTAATAATAAAAAAAAAATTGATTCTTTAAAAATATAATAATATATTTCCTTAATATTAAAAATGGATAATATTAGCATATTGTGTACGTAGACCACTAGTTTTAAATTCGTAGATCACTTTCTACACGAATGCCTAATATATTGTACATCATATTATTGCTGTATAAAAATCGTTATAATTATTGTTGCGTTGAACTCACCGAAAGCTATGCGCAAAGCAGCCAAACACTCTCCGTATTCGGGCTCGAACATGTACGACACCAGCCGTTGCCAAAGGGTCGTGACCTCGGGCCGAACGTTTTTCGGCGACGATTTCTCGACGACATTTTCTGTGTCCGCTTCCATCGCTCTGAAGTGTGCGAATGGACCGGCAGGACACTGAACACCAGAAACGACGTCTGTAGTACACCGATCGATCGAATTAATTATTAATACGTTTTTCGTCTCAGCAAATAATTGACGTGTCGATCAGAGACGTTGACGGTTATGCGGCGCGACGTCGTGACGTGTATACCTAACGTAATAATTATAATATATTATTTAGTGTTTTAATTGAAGACCACCGCACCCGCGTCGACTTACGTACGAGTTGATGCGATATTGTATTGACGACGATGATGATGATATAATAATAATAATAATAATGCCATTATGGGATGAAGATGACGATGTAATATTATGTGTGTGCCGCACGTCGTTTTCGGTTTAATCCGAATTTCAGAGATTCAGTATTGATGATGTATAATACATTAATACATATTAAGGGAGACGGAGTGGTCGAGGTTACTAAGACATCGGTATCGACGCGCATCGTCGCCGGTTCGAACCCGGCCACGGGCGGCACTTCTCTTCGGGCAGTCACTGTGTCTGGAGAGAGAGAGCCCGCCATCCCACACCCGGACATGGCAAATACCTACGGGTGCCCACTAGAAAATTCTGCTAAACTAACAAACACACGTGTTTAAACCTACAGTATCCTCCCCCACACAAAAAACCACTCAATGGCCTAAGTTAATTAATTAAAAAAAAATTACATATTAATAATTATTATAAGTGTACCTATTTATTTTTGATTGTATATTTTTATTTATTATCGACTATTTGTCATTACTCATTAGTAATTCTACCATAGAGGTCAAAGAATCCAGTAGTTTGGGTACATTTTACCTGGAACGATGATAACATAATCAAAACAATTGTGTCCTGGAAACCAACAAGGAACCTAACCTAACCAACAAGGCCCCAAGGAACTCCAACGAAAAGATGGATGGACGTGGCCGAGAATATAATTCATGATCGGGAAAAGTGGCGTAAAGTTGTGATGACGGCAAAGACTCTTGTAGAGTAGATCAGTGGCTCAACTAGAGTTCAAATCTTGGGGGTGCTACAATTATAAATTGCTCACATAGTCGTGGGGATATTCCATATTACCCATATTTAGAATATACTATTATTTACAATTTGTTGTTAAACAACAATTATTATTGTGTAAATATGCACGTATTTTTCACTCAAAATGCCTTCCTGCATGAACCACCATAGTATTAGTGTTTTAAATGGCACACGCTCACACCTGTCCTCTCTTAGTCTTTTCAGGGCGACTACGTCTATCGGCCACTGAAATTTCTTTGCTTAAAATTTATTATAAGCCACTGAATGACGCAGTATTTGTAATAGTATTTGACGTGACGTTTTAATAATACGTTTTCTATGAACGCAAATCTGGTTTGACAGTGACTTTTCACGGTGCTGTATAGGAAAAGGTAATTTTCCGTTGCTTCTACTGTCAACGAAAATAATTTAATTTTCAGTGTAGGTGTGATCAGGGATGGATTTATCACCTTACCCATTTAACCTTACAAAGGATCGGGAGAGAAATTCAGATTAAAAAATTGATGAGTTATATTTTTTATCGAAATTCTACAACATTTCAGATTTTTAAAAAAATTATAATTAAATTATAAATAAATATATTTGTTTTATAGGTACCTCCTAATTATTTGTAACATTGATAATAATAATAGAATATTATGTACTTCTTCAGCTAGTATAAATAAAAGATTAGTATATTTTTTTACTAAGGATGAGGGTATTAAATGATTATTACCTACTCAGTAATTGTAGTAAAATAATTTTACTAAAATCTCAGTGGTAATAATTATTTTTCGTCATTAATTAAACCTATACAATTATTTTATTATTGGTTTTATAGTTCTCAATATGACTAAATGCTACGGTATTACTAAATATTACGAATGATGGCTATTATTTAGCCATGGATAAATGAGAAACAAAAATATTTAATAGGTACGCGTTTACTGTTACAATATAGTCATAAATAAATCATAAGAAATACTTTACTACCGTGTATAGTACTCATTGAGCATAATATATGATGACATTGGTTTTGATTATTTAATTATTGATATTATAAGGTTATAATATTATTATCGCTTATAGGACTGAATTATTTTTTTCGTATTCCAATGGATCGCTACATCGATTATGTTGGTGCTCTGCAGGGGCGTCATTTGGGGGTGGGCAGGGTGTGCGACGGCACCACTAACATAATAGAATAAATAATTGGCCCTCCATTAATACTGCTATGCACCGATATGATTACTATTAAAAATTAATAAAATATTCTTGGTCCAGTGGCGCTGAAGTCCAAAATTTTAACTATGACATTAGACACCTCTACATAAAATGTTGACACCCACCTATTTATTATAATTACCTTACCATACACCAAGTAAATATATATTTTAGCGCCACTGATTCATGCATGTAATTTAAATGTATTGTTTTTATCAGCTTTATCAGCTTTATTATCAAATGTATCCCTATTTTATAACCATGTGAAGCGAGTCTTATTCTGTGGTTTTGTTATGTAAGACAGTTCGTGTCAGCCTGCTGGTATCAGCTATAGTGGACTAGTGGAGTAAGCATAGCATAGCTGATAATACATTAGAAACTGTAGAAAAATAACTAATAATATGTTATTTTGTATGAATATTGAAAAGTATTTAATTTTTGAATTACATTTATTAAAAATAATTCCTTAAACCGCATTTGCCTTTAATTCTCCAAATAGTAGTAAAATGGCTTCTTTTTGCCGATAGTTTCTACTTGTTTTAGTTGCTTACATGTTTTTATTAAAAGCCTTCTAATACATTGAACTGTTAGCTATTTGAAAATTACAATATAAATTAGTTGATATGAGTAATTTTTTATTAGGATTATAAATGGGAAGGAGGTAATATTAACATACTTAAATACTTTAAACGGCATGGTTATTGTATAGATATCAATGTTAAAGTTGGCCTGGTTAAATGTTAAAATTTGCCTGCCTAAAATCTTGCACACCCGGAAAAAAAACTGAAATGACGCCCCTGGTGCTCTGTAGAAAATCTACAGCGACGATATTGAAATTTTCTCCTCACTCTGGAATTGCAAACCAATTGAACAATAATGTATTAACCATCGAACTCATGTGTCGTAAACCATCACCTCTATTGAATATAAACGTCCAGTGGAGTATGAGTTAACTCGGCCATCGGGGTCGTTACACCACTTTTGTTTTGTGTTCTGCTCAAATGGTATCAATATTAATATACATTTTACTTAAGTTCAAAATTATCAATGGAGGCATTATTAAAAAAATACGTAAGACTATATATTTTTTAAGAATGATTTTTATTTTGCAGCACATTATCGAAATTATTTTAGTATTCCTAGTTCAAATTCAAATAATCCTAAATCCTAGTATAGATAATACATATTTTATACATACTTATTTTATATGGTTCTGTCCTTGTGTGATTTATTATAATGCTGTTTTAATATTTAAATCTGACTGTTTTCTAACTTTTTAGTATTGTTCAGTAGTAATTAAAATTGTTTAGTCAATTTGAGTGTATCTTGTAAATGTAATATTATTTTGTTATTAGTAAAGCGTTGGAATATTTATGATCTTAAAAAGTGCATATATAATTAATATATTAAAAAAACATTAAAGTAGGCCCTTAAAAATGTACTATCAAATATCAAATTATAAAATGCACTAAACATCGTATTATTCATTCCATTTGAAATACATATACATTTTTTAACACATTATTATTCATGAATATTATAGGTTCTATGTTTTTAAAGCGTGTATACTCTACAGTGCATGTATAATACGATTGTGAAAGAGCATTGAGCGCATTATGTTTATTGAAATCTAAAATTTTAGAAATTCTCTAGCAATGTATAAAATGTTCCAAAGTGTACCTATTTGAACTAAATAAAAAAAATGAATTTGTAGCTCCAATAAGTGCCTAAAAATGCAAAAATGAAATATTATACTATATATTATGCCTTCGTGTGATTATATCATGTTGATTTATAAAAAAAAATTTACAAAAAAATGAAGGAATGCCCATTAAAGTCATATACATCCTAACCTTGGTTGTTATCGGTGCTTATAGCTCATAATATTATTGTCATGTGAATTGATAATTTGTGATATTTTAGTGTAAAAAATTTCAATTAACTTTACTTATTTATATATAAACTTACGTAGTCTTGAAATGTCGTTAATTTATGAGAATTTGGCCAGCATCGGGGAACAGGTGTCCGTAGATTATCATAATAATTAGCATATACTGCTGTCATCGGCAAATGGCTGTAACTTGTAAGTCACAATTACTCTGCGTCCTTCGGTTTGTAAATCTTTCAGCAACTTATTCCATCCGATTTTAGCCATATGCTTGCCCAGGTAGAATGTCCCAAATTGATATAATTCAAGGTACACCGACGGATTTTTCGAAAAACCAGTTTGGAATTTGTGAAATTCGACGATGACAATTTCATTTGTTGCTTCTACAAATGTTTTTATATCCCCGAGGATGTGGGACAAAGGTCTCACCAGATAAATTTCGTGATGTAGCCACCATAAATGTTCAGATTGATTATAAAAACCTACTCTCAGATCCAGATATCGAGCTCCGTGACATAGTTGACCCAAAACGTCAACGTCCTAACGAGTTTTAAAATCAATGACAAATTGACAACATTAGTTAATGATACTTGAGCAAGACAAAAACCAACACTCTTACTTACTTGAGTATAGACATACTTTTCAAAATAAATCGGAAGTTTTTGCGTATTATCATATGCTCCAGAGTCATGTGTACCTGGCAAAAATAATGAATCCAACCCTAAAGATTTGATCTCGCCTGGCAATTCGTCCATCCAATTAGGTTAGTACAGCTTAGACAGTTTATGGCTAATGCTAAATAGGCAAAACATAAAACCAGTGAATAAAGTGAATGTTTTTTAATTAATGTTAAATAAAAATGGCACAAATAGGTTATAATAGTATATAATATACTGTAGCGAATACCCTTTAGATTCTGAGTGAAACGATGAATGTATTGATTTTACAATGATGTGTGTTTTTTTTTATTTTTTCATTTTATTTGTGTTTGTGTACACTCGATAAGTAGTCGAAATAATGCTTCGATTTTCAACTTCAGTATCTTGTTCGATTAGAAAGTGTATATCGTTGGTGCATTGAGGAGGTCCAAATTTAAAATTGTACTTAAAATTTGTAGTTAAAAATGTATAAAATGTTCAACTTTTATATCTAATGATTGAAAATTTAAAACAAGATTCCATGTAAGTAGTTTATTTTTATAGTAATTTTAAGTTCAAATTTGGAAGAAATTACATATTAAAAAACTTAGTTATTTTGTTGTGATTGTATAATGTTATTCGTGGGTACTTGAAACTTCTAAAGTGTACTATTATATATCTATGATAGTATCACAGTTGGTTGTTGATGTATAACACGTTATAAGTACCATGGATATTGTGATATGATTAATTTGGAATTTATTATAGATACCTATTATAGGTCAATTTTTTTTAATACTATAGATATGTATATAATATGTCTTGTACCTAGACTGACATACCGTCTCCGCTCAGAATAGTTTTTCTTATACAATGATATTATATCATTGAATTCAAATTTAATACCATCCATCATACAGTAACCCACTTGTAACCTACTGTACAGCAGAGTACCTTTTTTACATTAATTTTGGCAGACCGTCATTTAAAATTGTTCTTTTAAGATTTTATCTTAGAAAATATTATTTTTAACTGTCAAAAAAGGGGAAATTGTTGAGTGTGTATAATGAATAAAAATTCTTAAAATAAACTCAACATCAGCTTATAATATTCATCCTACATCGTTTGTATAATCAATAATATTAATATATTTATAGTATAAAGATGTATGGGAACTGATTTAAAGTGGTCAAAGTAAAATGTAAATAACGTATAATAATATATAATATATTACAATTTATTTAGATCGCCATTCATAATTAAATACCGTCATCATAATTATTCGTAAATTATATTATAGACGATCTGTATACTGTGTTGATGTCCAAGCAGTAAAGTGTTTGTTAATTATTTTGATAGTAATTTGTAAATAATTTATTATAATACCTTTTAGAGTACTAGCAACTAGCATGTATAAAACCGTGAAAAAAATTATCAAATATAAGACAAGGCTACCTACTAAAAAAAATAGGTTTTAACTTTTAACTAATTTTTAATTATATAATTATATAGTTAGATCAGCGATCCCCACTATACCTGGTCTGCATTAAAACTGAATGTATTTTACATTCTATCAAATCCATCATTCTACACCATTAAATATAAATAATATAAAATACTTAATAATATATTAAAATAAAATGTTTAATTTTTATATCTTTTAATTGTTTTCATTCAAAATGAAACTAATGGAACTAACAATCTATACACCTGGGGAAAAAACAATACACATAACGAAGACTCTTATTTTAGGTCAATGCGCTATGTGCAAATTTAAATTTATGCACTACCTGCAGGGGCCCGTGAGTAAATTCCAAAATTAATATTTGGCCCTTTTCCAAAATCCTAGTGGAAAACCACTGAGTTACATTAAAAAACCCATAGTGCGCATGCTCACGTGTGTCGCCATTGACGTATACGACCCAATACTTGAAACATTGAGTTTTGAACTGACCACCGTGGCAAAGCAGCTGTATAGTTTTCGTGTTGACCGTCAGGTCAGTTTCAGCCAACCAGAAGTGGCGTTCACTGGATAATTAAGGAGCGATAAAAACTAAAAAGAGATAAAAATGTAAAACGATTTATGTATTTTTACATAAAAGTTGCTCAACACAATGGACGTGATTGCGCGTTCTTAAAAAATACCAATTCGTTGAGATATGAATATTTATAATAATACCAATCTATATTTGAAGAGTTTTCTTCTCGGGTAGAAAAAAATTATACACTTCAATATACGAATGTTTCCAATAGATGCCCTGCTTATAACTTATAGACCTTATTATATTATTACCTACTATATTATAGGTTAGTTATTTATAACTATTTACCATTCATCGTGTGAATCAAAATTATGAGAATTTGAAATACAGGACAAACGAACGCACGGCAGATATGTACCTAAATTGCCTACCCTAAACGCCGTGTAACCATATATTTATTATTGAAATGTCTATAAATGCCTGAACAAAAAAAAAAAATAGTAGCGTCATAAGCGTGAAATTGGGGGGGGGGGAGAGATCTGACGCAATTAAGTATATTTTATCAACGAAAAAATGTATATTATAAAATGTTGTACAATGACAACGAATTACAATTTACAAGTAACTTGATTAATTTAATTTACATAATTCATTCACTACGTTAGGGAAAAAGATAAAGATACAAGGTTTTCGAACAATAACCAGTTTTTTGTACACTCTTTACACTTGTAAGTTTATTTTATTAAAGTTTTTTTAGTTGTACATACTTACAGTCTGCACGTAGTACCGTTATACAAACTTAAATAATATACACGCTTTAAAATTATTTTTACTAATTGTGTATCTCAACGTTTGGCGTTTGATATAGTGTTCTTACCCCCATTTAGGTGTTTTAAACAAGCCATGAAAAGTGTTAGTTTATTATACGTGAGTAAATTATCAAGAAAGTCAATCAAGTATTTTATAACTGAAATCCACACAGAAATCGAAGTTGATAACACAAAGTATAAAGATAGGCTCGTAGCCAGGATTTTTCTGATCGGTTGGCCTAACAATTTAATAAGACTTAGGGGCGTTTAAAATAATTTATTATAGCATAATATAGTCATTACACATAATAAACGAAAAGTGATAAAAAGCAAAAATTAAAAAAAAACTACTCGACATTTTCCACTTTGAAGAAAATCTATGGTTCATAAATATTTAATATGTATTAATTAGTAACCGTAAATTGTATTATACCTAGTGGGAATGAGGAAATTTTTAAATTTTATTCGTTTCTATAATGGTGATAAACGAATCGTTATGTACTATTTGTTAGAAAATAAAAATATCTATGTCCAGCTGAAAAACATATATTTTATGTTAAAATAGTTTAAAATTACATGAAATATTTTCTAATTTATAAATGTGTAGATATATAGGTATATATTTTTAAAAGGTATATATTAATTAGGGGAAAAAATAAATGCGTTGCTGATGTTTTGAATATTAGTTATTACTTATTACCAATGTTATACCTATTGGCATTTTTACAAATTTTAATTGTACTTCATTTTTATTACGTCACCTAATCTAACCTAACCTAACCATTTAAATAGCCTATTAACGTAAGTAAAATTCGCCAAAATATTCGACGTGAAGTTGTTATTACCAATAAGTCATTATAAACGATGTAGTCAACTGTATATATTTTTAATCATATCGAACGAATTAAAAAAAAAAGTTTCGGCAGGTCTCTTGTTTTCCGAAACGTAGTATAGTACGTACATGGAAATGAGCTGTAATTAGTGATGTATAATAATAATAATGAGCGATAATAGATACATGTATCAATTAATAGTTGTTTTTTTAAGGCACTATTCTTAATTCGCCTCAGGTGCAGCTTTCGAAATATAGTGGATGAACCACTTACCGTCAATTATATAGGTGCGTTGCTACCTATGATACCGCGGTTAGGTCAGCTGCACTAGAGTGCTCGTAGGTACTCAATTCTTTGACCGCGTGTTATATCAATATAGTATAACGAAAAACAAAAACATCATGGCCCGATTTTTAGTTTTCCTAAGTGTGTAATAACTAATAATAAATAAAATGAGCTGTAATCGTGAATATATAATAATAATATTATATAGTTTCTATCTCAATATATGGGGTTTTTTTTAAAGTATTATTATCTGTAACTCACCTTAGGAAACAAGTCTATTATTTTACTTCCAAATCGAAGGTCGTAATTATAAAAACTATATTATTCAGATGTGTGAAATAATATTACGTGTTTGAATAGTTTATTACTTGGCAGTATATATGTACCTACTTATACTTAATTCATATTATGTATTTAGAAATAAACCAAAATCACTCATACCTATTTAACCAATTTTGTATCGGAAGTCCTCTTTTTGAGAACTAGTTGTTACTATAGAAATTATTTGTTGGATATTAATTGGTATCAAAATACATAAAATCATCATGATATTATACTTAATAATATGTATTTATGTGACAACCAAAAATCAATATGACACACTTAATGTAATGTAATATGAAAAAAAAATATTCGATCATCGAAACTTTATAACCTGACCTAACGAATTATAATAATGGTACAAATTAACAAATATACCAGGTTGACATCGCCAAAAATTATAATTGTAATTGTTTATTGTTCTCCAAATAAATTATAAATTATCTTAAAGGGGTGATACAACTTACCTGGCTGTCCTACTGACTAACACTGTATTCAAATAAATCTTAATTCTCAATTCCCAAGGCAAACTAATAATTAGTACTATACGTATACCTATTTACCTAATTTCTATATTATTTAATAATAATATGTAAGGGGATATCAAATGTTTAATTGTATATTTTGAAATTAAATGTGTGTTTTTTAATCAAATTTATGTATTCTTAAGTCACAATCACAAAAGCATAATATTAATAATGACTGTTCTAAATAAATAATATAAAATAATAATAACTAGATGTTAATAAATCATGAGTATATATAAATATATAGCCAAGGCTCGATAACTCGAATCACAAAGAGAACAACAATAAATTTGACTTATGTATTTTATAGTTAAATAACTTAAAAACACTTCAAGGGGCGAGAAAAAAAAATCGTGTTAT